GTGGGAACGTTTATTTAAAATTAATATACTCATTAAAGAAGATTTATGAAATGTTGAAAGTAATTTCAAAATTATCATCTTCTGTAATCCCACTCTCAAATTCAATTAAAGATAGTAGTTTTATGAAATCGTCAAAATGCCAAATGTTCTTTGTGTGCCTTTTTACTCATTAAGGAAATGTTTTCTCTTTCTTATTCCAGGGCTGTTCTTGGTCAGTTATATTTGTGGATCTGGATGCTCACAATCGCAACAGACAAACTTTGTGCTCACTGTTACCCAGAGAATCAAGATCTCATGTGAGGCATTTAAAAATGTATCAATTAATATGAACTGGTGTTTATTATTTTTATATAGTTTTGTATTCTTTTCCAAGAAAGTGCTTTATAATGGTGAAGGTCGTCCATAAGAGGTAGTGGATAGTGTTCCTCATTTCTCCCCGTGGCCTGAGGAGAGCTCACTTAGAAAGTGAACCAAGTCTTTTGTAGGAAATAGAAAGATAGGCATATTCTTTTCTTGGGTAGGAGGCAGTGAGCAGCATATTATATATACCAAAGTGAATCTTTTTTGCCATGAAAGATTAGAAAAATATTTATCATAGCTGATATTTCTTTTGAGTAAAATTCCTTTATTTCTTTACTGTCATTAAATTAATTTTTTTCTATTTCTGATAGAAAAAAATTCTTTCCACTCAAATATAATCTTAGGGTATGTCTCATTTTATGCATGTATGAGGTGCTTCAAAAAGTTTGTAGAAAAATTCCATTATCTTTCCATTTTATTTTCCAGGAACTTTTTTAAAGCTCCCTCATATATGTATATGAACCGACTCGACAGCACTTAACAACAACAACATAGATAGACAGATAGATAGATAGATAGATAGATAGATAGATAGATAGATAGATAGATAGATAGATACATGTTTTTAGATAGATAGATACATGTTTTTTAATAAACCTGGAACTATATTGTTCACGATGTTTGATAACTTAGTTCTATTAATGAACAACATGTCCTGAACATGTTTCTTTATCAGTAAGCATGTTTTTGTATAAGAAAATTTTAATGGCTGCTCATTTATTCAAGTTATTGGACATTTAGATCGTTTTCTGTTTTTCACAATGTAAACAGTTTATTGTTTTAAAAAACTAAATTTTGATGTCTAATTATTAATGTTCAGTTTTTTTCACACTTTTTATTAATATTAAAAATGTTGGTCCAACATTGTACCTTGAAAATATTCATTATTGGCAAATAAAAGAGTTTTTGTTTGTATGTTTTTAATTTTTTTATTGTAATTTGGGTGAAATTTTACAGAAGGAATTCATTTTCCATTCAACAGTTCATACACATTTTGCTCTGACACTGATTTCAATCACCACTATATAACAGTATTCTTCCCATTTCCTCCCCTTGTTTACTATTTTCATTAGTCCTTCTTTCCTGTCGCTTCCTTCCTCCTGAGTACTATCTCTGGGGAAATGTTGCCCTTGTGATACCCTGTCATTGATTATTCTGAAGAGTGCATACATCCCTGGTGTTATTGTTCACCTTATAGGCCTGACTATTCTTTGGCTCAAAGTTCAGCTCGGGGGATGAGTTCAGTTCCAGTCCTGAAGGGTGTCTAATGACCATAGTCTCGGGGTTCCACCAGTCTGTCAGACCAATAAGCCTGGTCTTTTTCATGATTCTGAGTTTATTCTGCATTTTCTCCCACTCTTTCCAGGACATTCTATGTGATTCTTTTTAGAGTAGGTGGTCAGTAATAGCCAGGCACCATCTAGTTTTTCTGATCTCAGGGTCTTAGCTATTTGTATGTGTCTTGTCTTTAATTTTCTTTCCTCTTAATTTGCTCTGGATGGGGAGAAACTAGTAGTTGCAACATAGATGGCTGCTCACAAGCTTTAAGACCCATGTCACTATTCACTAAATTACATTGTCTTTGTGAACTACATTATGGCAATTGATTTTGGCATCCTCTCAGACTATGGACCTGAGCCCCCAGGCCTAGCAACTTATTCCCTCAAGGTGTTTGGTTAGAACTAAGAAGCTTTCAGAACTTTGCCCCCTGTATACTGTATTTATGGACTGCTGGTGTGATGCTGTAGGGTCAGCATTGGACTGTGAACCACAAGGTTGGCAGTGCACATCTGCCAGCTGCTCCTCGGAAATCCTGAAGAGGGTCACTGAAACTAACTTGATGGCACTTAACAACAACATGTTTGTGTGGGTGTGATCTCATTTACCTTCCTACTCTTGCTCTGCTAGAGTGTTTCTGAGGCGTGGCTGGTGAGTTTGAACTCTTAACCTTGTGGTTCAAACTGACTTTGCCATCCAGCACGTTATCCTACATCGCTACACAAGGACTCTTTATTAAGTCTTGGTGGTGGTGGTTATGTGCTGTGGAGTCGGTTCCGACTCATAGCAACCCTATACAGGGTTTTCCAGGCTGTAAATCTTTATGGAAGCAGAAAGCCTCATCATTCTCCTGCAGAACAGCTGGTAATTTCAAATTGCTGACCCTAAGGTTAGCAGCCCAATTTGTAACCACTACGCTACAGAACAAAGACAAATAGTCAACCTGGTTGAGGGAAATCGTAGGTGGCACCATCATGAGTTTCCAAAGTTGCACCTTCATGTGATAACCTTTTATAGGGTACAGGAATGGGAATTTCCTTCCACAACCATGCCTGGTAACAGCAATGTTTCACATCCATATTCTTGGTGTACAGAAAGCAGGGAGGACACTGTTGCAGACAGGAAAGCTTACAGTCTCTGAGACTCTTTGGGGTATGACATCACAACCAGGTGACCGTTAAAGGGTGTGTCCAGTAACCTTCCTCGGAAGGCTGGCTAGGGGAAGTGGTCCAAACCTACTTTAAAATGTACTCTACTTCTAACTCTGGCAGTTTATCAGAGATGCATGAGATACTCAAGAAAAAATTGACACCTGAACTCCTAAACCTAGGCACAAACAGGAATTAGGCTTTGCCTGGTTGAAGTCATTCACAAGCAAAGAGCCTTCAAATTTCATGCACTGTAGTAATACGTAGTAGTATTTGCCTTTGTTTTCTTGGCTCTTGTGCATCTCTCAGTGTCTTCCTTTTTCTTAATAATTTTGTTTTGACCGTCCCCTTATTGTATTGGCTTTCCTTTCACCCAAGTTTGTATGTGTTTTTTAGTGAATAATTTATTCTCCCTTCTAATGAGTCTCTCTGTGTATAAACCTTTTACAGTAGTAGTAGTTGTTGTTAAGTGCCATCATAACAGTACTGACTCAGAGTGAGGCTGTAAGTCTTTGTAGGAGCAGAACGCCTCATCTTTCTCCCATGGAGCGGTTGATGGGCTTGAAGCACCAACCTTGTGGTTTGCAATCCAGTGTTTATCAGACAGAGCCACCGCGCTCCTTTACAGTAGTGGTCTCCTATAATGTTTGACCTTTTGTGATTGAAATGCTTAGCATTTAGCTTCATCCATATGGAAGTTTTTGTAGATTTATTGTTTTTCCTTAACTTTACATGTGATTCCATGTGTGTGGACCATACTTTTTGTTTTACCCATTCATCCCTTAAGGGCACTTAGTTTTATTTCCTCCGTTAGAGTTACTAAAGCTGCCGTCTAAACAGACATACACCCTAGTAGCAAAGCTTTTGCACTGTTGAGTAACTTTATTGATTTTTCATCTTTATAATTCTCCTTGCACTGTGTTGATCATGTCACTATAGACAGTTACGTTCTGTTCTTTATCTTATTGTCCCAGAACACAGATGCTGCCCTGCTCCCCTGCATCAGTTATCCTGCATTTGCCCTGGATGATGAAGCTCTGTTTAGCCAGACACTTGATAAAGTGGTGAGAAAATTAAAAGGAAAATATGGATTTAAGCGTTTCTTGAGAGATGGATATAGAACATCATTGGAAGATCCAAATAGACGCTACTACAAACCAGCTGAAATTAAGGTATACAAAACCCCATTGTAGTACTATAGCACAGATTCAGGTGGCAGACTTCTTGGTTTTGGATTCAGGCCGTGCCAATTACTAGCTGGGAGGCTGTTGGCAAGTTAATTAACCTTTCTGTGTTTAATATTCCTTATTTGTACAATAATAATATTACCAACCTCCTGAGATTCTTCTGAAAATTAAATGAGTTAATATATGTAAATGTGCTTAGATTAGTCTTGCACATCATACTTCTCATTAAATATTCTGATTATTATCAGTAGGAAGACCTATTTGCTCATATTGGGCCATGTTTATTTATTGGGTATGTAATTTTTCTGTTGCATTTTTAGTTCTTTGCCTACATGTTCCATATTGTTACAATGTTGCTAAGTGCTGTCAAGTCAGTTCTGACTTATAGCAACTCTCTATAAGGTTTCCAAGGAGTGTCTGGTGGGTTTGAACTAACAACCTTGTGGTTAGCACTCTAGTGCTTATCCTATAGTGCCACACCAGGACTCCTACTGTTATAATAACAAATAGTTATTAATGGCCCAGCTTTCAATTTATAAAATACATCTCTTACTGAAACTGCTAGTTGGTCCCTTTTTTGTTGTTCTGTTTTATTTTGAAATATAGCCCTCTAAGCATTTAGGGGAGCCCTGGTGTGGGCTAATGCGCTAAACTGCAAGGTCAGCTGTTCAAGCTCACTAGTCACTCCTTGTTAACCCTATACAGGGTTGCTATGAGTCGGAACCGACTCAGTAGCACTTAACAACAACAGCAACAAAGCATGTCATTTAAAAAAATTTTTGCTGTTTTCTACTGTACACATACTACTTCTTTACCAGTGTATCCAGGTTTCTATTAGTTATGTTTTGGCTTCCAGAAAATTGTAACTTACACCCCTCAAAAAAGTAAGCTTTCATGCACAGTACTAAATAATTTGCTTATTGGAATAGATTAAAATAATTTTTCAAAGCCTGGTCATAACTTTGACTCAGTCAGTGAAGACAGATAAGTTCCTTTTCCTCATGAATCTGTATATAGAAAATGTGTACGCTATCTTGTAATTTGTGATTTGTTTGGCAATTTACATATCATTGTTTTTAAATTTCCTAAAAACTTCTGGTTTTACAGAATGACCAAATAAGCTATATGCTATTTTATTTAGATTCTCAATTAACTATTATTTGGGAGCATTAGGAGTTATTTATTGTGTACATTTTGGGGATTTTACAGCAATCTCTCAGGATGAGACAAAAAATCCAATTATCTTTTAAGCAGCTTAGATTATTCTTTTGTATTTATTACTTTTCTTGAGCTGCCTTGCAACACTTATGTTTGGGTTAGACTTCCTACATACCATTAGTTTTGGATTAGTACAGTAGACCTTTTCTCCTTCTGCACCTGTTGCTGAGCATCACCAAGAACAGACACAAACAGAATGCATAGGTGTCACCTGAAATTCAAGACATCCATCTTGGTTCACTCCTCTTTACAATTTTCATAGCTCATCATCCTACTATGTGTTCCTGCCAGGAATGTCTTTTGAAAACTTCTGTAGTTTTCCCTTTGCTACTCAAATTTCTACATGTTACGTCTCATTACCTTTTTGATTGCCTTTCATTTCTATATGGTCTCCCCACTGTTTCCATCCTCATCTATACTCCATTTCTCTTGTCAAATGGAAAGTACTCTCTGTTCTTGACCATAGGCTATCCTTCCATCTGTGTTTCATCTTCTGTTCTCTTTTACTTCCTAAAGACTTGTGCAGCATGTTTTCTCGTCTAATAGAAGGATGTCCATCTCCATCTCTTATTTTTCTCCTTGTCTCCTCTCCACATTCCCTCTGTTTTGCTTCCCAACACAAATGGACTTCTTTTCATCAGCATAAACATTTTGATATTCATCCTTAAATGCTGTTGTTAGGTGTCATCGAGTTGGTTCCAACTCATAGTGGCCCTGTGTAGGGTTTCCAAGGAGTAACTGGTAAATTTGAACCACCGTCCTTGTGGCTCATACCCACCTTTAAGTCCAGCACATTAACCCACAGTGCCACACCAGTATTCCCTAAGTAAGCAAACAAAAATTCTTCCTTAACCCTCATTCCTGTCTTCTTCCTACCCGCTTTCTGTAACTGCACTTCTGAAAAGAATGATCTTTGCTTGGTTATCTTTCACACACTCACTCCTCCCCATTATAATCTGTTGTTTTTTTTTCACTTAGCACATTCCAGTAGTGATGCTGGCTTCTGTCAGTTTAGATCATGGGATTGTAGTATAGGCTCTTCTGACTTTATTTTACTCAGCCTCGTTAGCCCTAGGTTCCTTCTAGACTCTTCCTTCTCATTCTCCCAAGTGTTACAGATCACCAAGTGTTACAGATGTAATCATCTTAAAATCTTAGAAATCTGTCCCTACCTTTCTATTACTATTTGGGCCAGCATATTTTTTTTCACACTCCCAAGTTATTTTGTTGTTGTTGTTTAGTGCCATCAAGTCGATTCCAACCCACAGCAACCCTGTACAGGGTTTTCTGAGGAGCAGCTGATAAGCTTGAACCGCTGACCTTGAGTTAAAATGGCTATGCAGTCTGACACATTAACCCACAGTGCCACACCAGGACTCCCAAACTATATTAGCCTTACTGATAATATAAACAGTTAACCACATCTTTGATATGTTATTCATGGGACTTCAAAAAGCTTGTGGAAAAAATATAGAATGAAAAGATAATGGAATTTCTCCACAAACATTTGAAACTGCCTTATAGTATTATATACTGCACCCATATCAAAGTTGTATTTTTAATATGAGATCAAAAGGTTATTCACATAAACTGCAAGGTTTTCAAAACTCATATAACTGCAATGATGACTTCATGAATTTCCTTTTCTTTTCTTACAATGGTCCTTTTGCTGGATTCATTTATCTTGAAATGATGAGCAACCATAGTTGCAGACCTCAATCTACATGCAGTACATTTCAAGCAATTCAACTTTTTCTTGTAATATCATTACTTTTCTTCTTGGGAACACTTCCAACATCAGTAGTGACACTTTTTATGGATCTGGGTCCCATATGCTATTCAAGGTTTGCAGTATTTCACTAAACACAAAAATTACATGAGAACTACAAGAAATCACCTTTTACTGTGATACACAATTTATCGGACAGAAGAAGTACTCAAGTGGAGATGATTAGAGTCACATGGCATTTTTAAAAAGTTTGCATATAATGGCCTGCACAGTTCAAATCTATAGTATTCAAGGGTCAACTTACACTGGCAACTGCTCAGTCTAGCAAGTAAATCTGATGTTTAAATTTGATCCTGCTCAGTGTTCACCATTGGTTCCCTGTTACTTGCAGTTCAGAGTCTTAGCCTCTTAGCATGACTTTCATGCTAAGGTCTGGTTGGCCAGGCCTAAATGTTGGAATTCAGCTTTCACTGCTGTCTCCTTGCGTATTCCTGAAATACTGGAATTTAATTTGATTTGTGCTTCTAGGAATCTATTCTAGGAATCTACTTTTGTTGTTTCTGCCTGAAATTCTTATTTCTAGTGAAATCCATCAAGAAGTAGCCATAGCATTTCCTTCCCTACAAACCCTTCCCTGGCCCATTAGGTAGACTCAGGTGTTCCATTATTTATGTTACTGCTGCGCCATATATAGATATTTCTCTGTGCACTGCAGTTGTTGATTTACATGTCTGCCACTCTACTAGACTATGAGACCAGAAGGAGAGGTTCTCTATAGTTTTTGTCTTAAAAAGCTTTTGTTACCTTTCTTGTGCCAACCTCCTTCTGATTGTATAGTTTTGTCTTTATAGCTCTCTGTGTAATTGGTGCCATTAGTAAGTATTCAGCAAATGTTTATTGAATGAAGGATTGATTGTTGTTGATGGATTATGAATGAACTTTTGAATAATAAGCATCTAGAATTTAAACTAGAACAATAACACTACCTATAAAATTGGTCCTATTTTAAGTTATTACTGAAAATAAATATTTTACATATATGCTAACTACTATTGCTCTTATAAGTGAAAAATTGAATTTTGATGCTGGTTTTATTTTCTGTTTTAGCTATTTGATGGCATTGAATGTGAATTTCCCATATTTTTCCTTTACATGATGATTGATGGTAAGTGACTTTTACTTCTGAAATTTAAGATATAATGTGTAAGTATGCTAAAGAAGAGCAGAAATGAAATATGATGCCTTTCATCCAGCAAAATACACTGTATTTCTGTGTTTTTAGATACTCTGTGGTTTTATTTGTTAGTCTACTTTCTCAGTGTATGTTAAATAATTTAATGAGTAAAAAAAGTACACTTTGAAGGTTTTGAAAAATTATATTAATACCACGTATGACAGTCGGCATTTCTCCACGACCTGTATGGAAAGATTAAACCTGAGTAGGGGCGACAGGAGATTAGAAATAAAAGGAAGACACAAGACACATTTGAAATATAGTTAGAACCAGGTGGGACACAGCACTCTGATGGAGATACTGTGACACAGACCAAGGCAGCATGTTTATTTTATACAAAATTCAAGGGGAGGTGCTTGGGGACAGGGAAAAGAAAAACATCTGGTGTTTTGATGCATGCAGTAAGCAGAACTTTGTCAGAAGAATGTAGTTTCCAGGGAAACAGAGATAGGGCAACTAGAATGTTGTGCAGGCTGAGCCGGAGGACATAGCTGAATACAAGGAAAGACCTTGCAAGTTCTCTGTACCCTGAGGCAGCCCTTCAAGTTCCTCAGGGAGGGGGAGACTTTGACTTGGAAGCAGCCCAAGTTTCTGGACCACAACTGTTCAGTTGCAATCCTTTAGCTAAACTACCCCTAAGGCAGGGACCCTTGGCTCAGCTGCTCCCAACATATTAATATATAATTCATATTTGTAAAGTAGCATTTTATATCAATAGAAATCATGCATAGTATAATTTTTAACATTGTGAAAATTTACATTTATAGCTGAGAGTAGAAAATTTTTTAAATAATTAAAATTTAATGTTTTAATTCTACATCCTAGCTTTTCTAAAGCCAGCTTTTAACATGAACATATGGTATGGCGCTGTAGGTAATACGCTGTACTGCAAAGTACATTTGAATGGTAAGGTCAGTGGTTCAAACTCACCAGCTGCTTCTTGGAAACCCTATGCAGGGTCACTGTGGGTTAGAATAGACTCAACGGCATTTAGCAACAACAACAACAATATATATCGTTTCAGTTTTTTGGTTTTTTTTTTACTTTTTATTGTGAATTGTGTGAAGATTTATAGAATAGATCATCATTACTACATTCAACAAATTCACACACTTTGTGTCATTACAATGATTGCAACCCCTTCTATGTACCATAATTTAACAATATTTACCTCCATTCACTTTAACTCTTGCGCTCTCTGTCTCTCACTACCTTCATCTTTCCTGTACCAACTTGCCTCTTGTATATTGCTTTACACATCACCCAAGTTAACATGTCTATCCACTACCCAGCAAGTAAGTTTCTCTCCATCCCACTTCATCATAGAATATGTCTTTTAACAAGAAAACCTTTTTCTTAACTCTTAGCAACAATGATCTCATATAATATTTGTCCATTTGTAATTGACTAATTTCTCTCAGGATAATGTCCTCCATGTTCATTCATGTTATAAGGTGTTTTGCAGATGCGCCATTATTCTTCAGTGTTGCATTATATTCCATTGTGTGTATGTAATAAGTTTGTATCCATTCTGCTACTCTCTGTCTCTTGGCTGGTTCATTTAATCCATTTATAGTCAGTGTAATTATTGATAGATATGAATTGATTGCTATCGTTTTGCTGTGTTTGTGTGTGTGGTATTGCTAGTTTCTTTGTTCCACATAATTTCTTCACTGAGTTCATTTTGTTTATGGACTTCCTTTACATTTTCTTCATTGCTATTGTTTTAATATTTACTAAATCTTTCTGATTTTCCTTTTTATTTTGATTTGAAAGTATATTAATATTCTTTGAGATTTCCTGTGACTTATTAATTTGTCCTCATTTAAAACAGTTTGTTTTAGCTTGAAATCTGTTTGACTTCCTTGCCATTTGGAAGTTCTGTATCTACACTATGCCCTCTTTTTCCTTTGTAGTTGACTTCATTATATATTGATATCTCTGGTTCACGATATTCAGTCTATTAAACCTATAAATATAAGTCTATAGGTTTGTTTTACTTTGCATATATCTGTATCAGCACTGAGTTCTGGTTGGAGTTGTCATGTATGTTAATCTCTGGATGTTGTCTGCGTTGTTGGTTCTAAGTCCAAAGATCATCCTTTAGTATATTTTATAAAGTTGGTCTGGTTATTACAAATTCCTTTCATTTCATTTATCTGAAAATGTCCTAATTTTGCTGTTGTATTTGAGGGACAGCTTTGTTGAGTATATGATTCTTGGTTGGCAACTTTTTTTCTTTCAGAAAATTTTGTATGTCATCCCATTGCCTTCTTGCCTATGGTTTCTGCTGAAAAATCAGAGCTTAGTCTTATTGGTTCTCCTTCATAGGTAACTTTTTACTTTTCCTGAGCCACTCTCAGGATTTTTTCCTTGTTTTTGGTTTTGGAATGTTTGATTATATGTCTTGGTAAATGTCTTTTGTGATCTATACTGTTTGGGTTCATTCTGCTTCTTGAATGGTTATCTTCTCATCTTTTATGATGATAGAAAATTTTTCATCCAGAAACTCCTTGACAATTTTCTCGGTGCTTTCTATTGTTGCTTCCTGTTCTGGAATTCCAATTACCCATAAGTTCTTCCTCTTCATGGTGTCCCACATAAATCTCAGTCTTTCTTTTTCGATTGTTCTTCTAGTATTAATAGATTTATTGATAAATTTATCTTCAAAGTCACTACTTCAGGCTTCCATTGGTTCAAATCTATTCCTTTGCCCTTTCAATATATATTTCCCGTTTTTGAGAGCTTAGTATTAATCTTATTGATTTCTGTTTGCGGGTTTTGTATTGTTTCAAAATTGGCTTTTATTTTGTTTGTTTGTTCTTTTAGTGCTTTTCTAAATTATAAGTATTGTTTTCCTGTATTCTCCTTACTTTCCTCAACCTTTCCTCAATTAACAAATCCATTGAAGGTACCTAAATATCATTCTCTTGAATTCTTTCTCAGGTAGTTCTGTTATCTTTTCTTCCTCAGAAATGTTTTAAGGCTCTGCGTCTTGGTCATTTGAGCCACTCTGTTTCTTCAGGTGAGCTAAAATCTTGTGTTGGCTCCAAGATATTGTGGTGTCGTATTTATATTTAATTGATGATTGTATATTTGTGTATTCTCATCAACTATCTCCTGGTGGATGTGATTAGAGAATGGAAATGTATGCACCACTTTCCATTTGCCATTTGTGCAGCTCAGTTTAGGGTGGGTTTGGCTGGTAGTGACTGATGTTTATCACTGATCGAGAGTTATAGGAGCTGGTGTTTACTCTCATCCAATGGGTGGAGCTGCAGTGAGTCATTTTGCAGTTTTAATGTCAACATTTACACAGGAAATTTCTAAAGTAATCATAACTGGGCTTATATATTTTACTAAGGCAAAAGTTTGTGATGCTTATTTAGTTCAACTGTTGTTGGATTTTATGTTTTAGGAGTTTTTAGAGGCAATCCCAAGCAAGTAAAAGAATATCAGGATCTTCTGACTCCAGTCCTTCATCAGACCACAGAAGGTACATTTGATTGTTTTTTCAAGAAACTTTTCTTCCAATATTTCCTTAATGTTCCTGTAAAATAGGTAAATGATTCCTTTATGAAGTATGGCAGTTTACATTAAATTGCAAATGTGAGTGGGACCTCAAATGTAATTAGAAAAATCTATTAATTTATTATAATAACTGTGCTTTGATAAAAAGGAGTTCATTAGGCCACAGTGATGATAAATTTAGGTGGTCATGTCTATAATAATTTCAATATAGCTTGCCAAGTGGCCAGATATTCTTTGTTATGTATTTACTTCACCAAAGAGATTCTGCTCAGATGGCCCTCTGGAGAGGGCAGCACTTACTTGAGCAGGCTCTCTCCCATTCTACTGGTATTGCCATAGTCACGAACATTCTAATGCCCTGAGCGGGTTGTATTGAATGTCTGCAGTGATGCTAAAATGTCATTTGGGAGGATAAATTTCATATTTTAATAATAGTCAAAAGGCCTAGTCTTACAAATAAGTGTCTGTTTTAGTCTAAGATCAGGAGAAGCTTGAAAGAAAACGGCCAATTTCTCAATAATACTGGAAAACCAGGTCCCAAGAAAGTGCAAAGGAGACTTTTCCAATATTTGTGAGGCAAATAAATAAGCAATAATGTAATAAATTAGTCTCTTAAGTGACCATCTTTGAAAATAGTTTTTCAAGAGTTAAAAATTATGGTGGTTTGGTGTCTTAGCCTAGATTCTCTAGAAGATCAAAACTAGTGAAATATATGTGTATATATATTGTTTTTGTTAAGTGTCACTGAGTCAGTTCCGATTCACAGTGACCCTGAATTGGGTTTCCAAGGCTGTAAATCGTTGTGGGAGCAGAAAGTCTCATATTTTTCCTGTGGAGCAACTGGTGGACTTGCACTTCAGCCTTATTGTTTGCAGCTTACCCTCTGGAGTCACTGAGCTCCCAATGTGTGTGTTGTTGTTAAGTGCCGTCAACTTGGTTCTGACTCATAGCGACACTGTATAGGGTTTCTGAGGAGTAACTGGTAGGTTTGAACCACCAACCTTATGGTTAGCAGTCCAGTGCTTAGCCTACAGTGTCACCCCAGGACTCCAATGCTAAAATGTGTGTGTGTGTGTATTGTTGTTGTTGTTAAGATGTATATGCATATATATATATATATGTTGTTAAGTACTTGTTAGTGTCCACAATTGCATGAGTCATTTGTGTGACATAAATCTCTCTCTCTATGTATATATATGTAGAAAAAGGTAGAGTGAGCGATCCTGTATTGGGTTTCTGAGGAGTGACTGGTGAGTTTCAACTATTGTCCTTGCAGTTGAAAGCCAACCTAATGGTGGAGTGTGTATCCTACAACACCACACATGCATAGTCGGTTTGAACTATAAGGTTGGTGGTTCAAGCTCATCAGCTGCTCCTTGGAAACCCTATACAGGGTCACTAAGAGTCAGAACCAACTCGATGTCACTTAAAAACAATATCAACAACATATATATATATTTGATGGCACCTAACAACAGCAACATTAACAAGATAGGAGAAGCCTCCAGCATGATGCCTGGAGTACAGATTAGGTACTTGCCAGTCTCCACAATTACATGAGTTATTTGGTTGACATAAATTTGTACATATATATAATTTATTATATATATATAAATAAATGCACCAGGCATCACGCTGGAGGCTTCTCCTGTCTTGTTGCTATTGTTGTTGTTAGGTGCCATCGAATCAGTACCAACTCAAAACGACCCTATGTACGTGGTTACAAAGGCTATTTAACCCAAAGTCAGCACGTCAACTTGTGAGATGCTGGCCCGCTTCCCAAGAAATGGATATTAGATGATGTCTAGTCTGATGCAGGAGCGTGAGAGAGAGATCCTTGCCAGAGCATTCATATATATCACGGAAATTCCCCTCACATGAGATCACAAAATGGAGGATAATTACATAATACTAAAAATCATGTTGATACATAACATTTGCCATCACAATTGGTTAAAAATGGGTTGCCTTAAATAGCTCCAAGTAAAACACTTTATATTGTGTGCTCACCCTTTATAATACTTTTGAATGTTAAATTTATGAATGCCTATGTGTAAATATTACATTGTAAGTAAATACTTGTAGAAGCAATTGTTTACATTATGTTTTATGGTCTCAGTACTCACTTTCCTAATATTAAGGAATAATGTAAAAGTTTTGTAATGGATGTCATATTCAAAGTTCCCTGAATCACAGTGTTTTAATATTCCTTGGTAGATCACTGATATATTCAGATGATGGTTTAGTGTACAAGAATGTTGGCTTTGTCTTGCTCGAAGAGTGATGTTTATATTATTTCTCTGCGTATTATAGCCCTTTTTATTGGTTTTAAGTACAGTATTGGAACGTGAAGAAAACTTAATTTTTTGAGAAACCTGTATAATTTTATTAGTAACGTTTACTGTGGGCTGGCTTTACAAAAATTCTTCTTTAGCACTCTAATGGAGTGTTAGTTTTTCTATCTTCATTTCACACATACTTTTAAATAGTCTTTAAATAAAATTTTTTAGCTAACTTCAAGGAATATTTTTGAATGGTTTGGTAATAAGGAATACTGGTGGCACATTAGTTAAGTGTTTAGCTGCTAACAAAAAGACTGTGGTTGGAATCCATTATTAGCCACTGCATGGGTAAAAGATGTAGCAGTTGGCTTCCATTAATGTTACAGCTTTTGAACTCTTATGGGGCAGTTCTGCTTTGTCCTTTATGATCACAAGTCAGAATCAACTTGAAGGCAGCAGCTTTAACAGGTAATGAATGGATTCTTTTTTACTTTAGTGAATGGTAGATAATGAACAGTAAATAATGGGTTTAATACTAAGTGAGCATTTCTTTGCTGTACGCGGTGGCTCAGGGTTATAATTCTTCATCTCATTTGTGAAGCTGCTACAGACTAATCCTATTAAAATACCTTCTATAGTTCTAAATATTTATGTACTGAATATTTGTTGATTTAATCTTGAAGGAGATTACATAAACTGTTGGCTAAGCATAGTAAATACTCTCGGATTGGTGTTTTAATGTCAAAAAGCTGTTCTTATGGTTTTCATTGGCAATTTCTAAAAGAAGTCAGAATATCCAATGTTTTATATATAGTTTATGAAATATTTTACTCTCTGTGGAACATTTCTCTATCATTGCTTTCTAATTATGGCAATATCTGGAAGTGAAAATTTGAGAAGGGTATTGTGATTAGTTATGTTTTAAATATTTTTTTGAACTCCACAGGATATCCTGTTGTACCAAAGTACTATTATGTACCAGCTGACTTTGTAGAGCTTGAAAAAAGAAACCCTGGTAGTCAAAAGCGATTTCCTAGCAACTGTGGCCGTGATGGAAAACTGTTTCTTTGGGGCCAAGCCCTTTATATCATTGCAAAACTCCTGGGTAAGTGGAGAAAGTTGACAACATATTTTTTTCTAGTTATCAAACAATTAGAAATAACTATATCCTTACTAGCATATTCTTGAATTTGGGTGGTATTTCAAGCTTTTTGGTGGTCTTTGGGTAGTTCTTGGTATGTAAAGGTATATTAATATGTGCATTTCACTGAATGATGATGAATAGTTTCTGGGATGAAAGTCAAATAAGTGTTGGTAGCATAATTTTGTAGGGATTTAATTCAGCTTTGTGAGTGCTGTTTGTTGTTGTTAGGTGCCACCGAGTTGGTACTGACTCATAGCAACCCTATGCACAGCAGAACGAAACACTGCCCGATTCTGGGCCAACCTCGCTATTGTTGCCACACTTGAGTCCATCGATGCTGCTACCAGGCCAATCCATCTCGTTGGGGATCTTCCTCTTTTTCTCTGACCCTCCTCCACCTTACCAAACATGATATCCTTCTCCAGTGACTGGTCCCTCCTGACAATATGCCTGAAATATGAGAGACAAAGTTTGGCCATCTTGGCCTCCAAGGAGCACTCTGGCTGCACTTTTTCCAAAATGGATCTATTGGGTCTTTTGGTAACCCATGGCACTTTCAATATTCTCCTTCAACACCATAACTCCAATGCATCAATTCTTCTATGGACTTCCTTATTCATTGTCCAGTTTTCATATGCATATGAGTTTATTGAAAATAACTTGGGTTAGGTGTACCTTAGTCTTCAAGCTGACATCTTTGCTCTTCAACACTTTAAAAAGGTCTTGTGCAGCACATTTCCCTAATGCAATATGTTGTTTGATTTCTTGACTGCTGCTTCCCATGAGTGTTGATAGTTGATCCAAGAAGAATGAAGTCCTTGAGAACTTCAATCTTTTCTTCATTGATAAGAATGTTGTTTATTGGTCCAGTGGTGAGGAATTTTGTTTCCTTTACATTGAGATATAATCCATACCAAAGGCTATGCTCTTTGATTTTCATCAGTAAATGTTTTAAGTCCTCTTCACTTTCAGCAAGCAAGGTTATATCATCTGCATATCGCAAGTTGTTAATGAGTATTCCTCCAATTCTGATGCCACATTGTCTTCATATAAACCAGCTTCTCGGATTATTTGCTCAGCATACAGGTTGAATAAGGATGGTGAAAGAATACAACCCTGTCGCACAACTTTCTTAATTTTTTCACTAAAATAAGGCTGTGGGAATTTTTAGTTATTTTCATATAATGAAATAAAAATTTGACTTAATAAAATAGTTATGCTTGGTCATAACTTTAGTAAACCACTTTCAGAAAGGAATTGGCTATCTGAAAGTTCTTTTATTTCTAATAAATATACTCTGGCGCAATTAATTTGTACAACTTCAGTGGAATTATGGAATGTTTCAACACATTGAAATGAAGGGTAATTTGATGAATACAAAAGACTTTATGAATCTCCCTTATTATTCTTTGTTAAAACTTCAAATTTTTTTAGCTTTTTTCTTGCTATCATTTCAGAGTCTGAGTTCCTTCTTTGTAAACAGATTACAAAACAACTAATTGGAAATGGAGGCCTGGTATATTGCTGTGGGTGAATGCACTGGACTTTAAAGTTGATTTGAACTACAACGTTGGTGATTCAAACTCACCAGTCACTCCTTGGTAACCCTATATTGTTGTTATGTGCCATGGAGTGGGTTCCAACTCATAGCGATCCTGTACAGGGTTTCCGAGGCTGTAAATCTTTACGGGAGCAGAAAGCATTATCTTTCTCCTGCGGAACAGCTGACCCTGAGGTTAGCAGCCCTATTCATAACCACTACACTACCAGAGCTCCTTATGCTGTTGTTGTTGTTAAGTGCCGTCGAGTCGGTTCCGACCCATAGCGACCCTGTACAGGGTTTCCGAGGGTGTAAATCCTTACGGGAGTAGAAAG